TTTTTCGACAACTTCTTCACAACTGTTCCTTTGTTATTACAACTACAAAAGAAAAGAATAGAAGCAACTGGAACAATAAGAGCAGACAGGAAGCTTTTTCCTCAGAAACTTCTACACACAGATAATCTGAAAGGGGTGAATACATATATTATGTCTGTAATCAAATATCGGTGGTCAAGTGGCAAGACAAGAAAACAGTTTTTATCGCAAGTAATTCATTCGACCCAAGGCAAACTGAAACTGTCCGTAGAACAGAAAAAGATGGTTCAAAGATATCCATTAATTGTCCAGCAATGGTTTCAAAGTACAATAAGTTCATGCGTGGCGTAGATTTATTTGATCAAAGAGTCTCTTTATTCAACTGACAGAAAATCTCGATGGAATTGGATTCGAATATTTCTTTATTTTCTTCAAGCAGCTTTATCGAATGCGTTTGTCTGTTACAACGACTTGCATGAGAAAAATGTGACTTACGCTGATTTTCTCTGTTCTGTCTCGATGTCACTAATTGGTGATCAATGCCCTCGGAAGAGAATTGGAAGACCGATGCATTTGTCTCATGCAAAGGAAAAAGAAATTCAACAAACGCTGGGCAGCACGGCTTCATCAATTCAGTTCTTAGCGCATATGCCTGTCGCTGGGTCTAAGGGAAGATGCCGATACTGTAGCACGAAAGCCTCTCCAGTATTCAGTATCATAAAATGTAGCTTTTGCGGCGTTTCTCTTTGTGTAAAGAAGAACAGGAACTGTTTTTCGACATTTCACCAAAAACTTGTGTAAGTTTTGCAACTAATAAACTTCAGTGACCCTTTTCAGCACCGTCTACACAGAAATTGAATGAGTTCTACGTAAAGCGTGTCAAATGAAAGTACAGGCGAGGTGTCATGGCACACATTCACGACTTAGATCAACTTTCCTTACAATCCAATTGAATTAAAACAAAAGAAATAATTTGGGCCTGAAAGGGTTAATAGAACATTAAAGCCAATGTTGGCCATTTTCTCACAAAAAGATGAGCAATCCTGGGATATCAGATTGCCGCAGTTAGCGTTAGCCATAAATGAATCGACAGGTCAGACGCCTGCATTCTTAATGTATGGATGTGAGCTTTTATTACCTCTTCATCTAGTGTGTGGTCTAGGAGTCGATTCTCTAGATGAATTAAGATCAGCTAAGGAAGTGAGAACTTGCAATAGAATTATTAGTGAAAAGTCGACAAGATTCGCTTGTTAAGCTTAAACAAATGGCCGAAAAAACTAAGCACCATAATTTTGTTGAAAGAGTATTTGTAAATGTTTCACCTTTAGTGTCAACGTTTTTGTTTATTTCAAGGTTAAACTCTAGTCTAGAATCAAAGAATGCAAAACAAATGAGAAAAACTATTATGTTATCATTGCATTTACAAATATGCACGGGCACGTCAGAGAGACAAGAGAAACACTACAAGTAAAACTTTTCTCTGAATTAACTTGTAAAAACGCTGAATATATTTAAAAAATGTTTTTCAGACAAGCAGCAGGAAAAATCTCAAGATCGTCAAACAGAAACATACATTTTGCCTTCGTCTCGACAATGCGATTTGTGTCAACCCGAAGTAGTTCAGGGCATATCGTTATGTACCGGGTGCGAGAGATTCTATTGTCAACAACATTTTATAGACGAGAGCTAATGGAAAATCTCGCAGAATTTAGAGACGAATATGCTCAATTTGAAGAAAACTTTTCGAAAACAAATGTTGAACAATCCCCGTTATTTGATGAGATTAAACAGTGGGAAGCTTCCATGTTTGACCGAGTGAGATTAGTAGCACTCAAAACACGAGAAACAGCTATGAGGATCATAGCGAAGATGTAAGGCCAGAATCTTCGATGAATGTGTTCATACATTCTTTAGCACAGAAGACAAATTTCACAGATTGGAAATCCGACAGTTTTCAGTCTTCGGTTTTAAATCTCACCAATAAGTTAGAATCAACCGCTAGGACAGTTAATAAAACTGATAATTCAGATGAGTTGTTTTCAAAACTCGATTTCACATCATCCGATGTTTCTGTACCGCAAGAAAAACAGAGAAGGCATGTATTACATCAGTATTCAGGTATTTTCTCGTTTTAACCAGGTCGTACTAATGTAGTCAAACATCATATTGATGTTGGTAATTCAAAGGCAATCAAATACAGTCATTATTGAACCCTGAAAAAAAGACAGCATGCGTTAAACAAACAGCCGAAATGCTCGAGGGTAGCATCTGTGAGCCGAATTTTATAGCCTCAAAGATTTTCAAATCTTTCGAACAAAAAAAATATTTTCTAAAACTTAATGATCTCAATGTCCTCCACCCAGCTATGTGTAAATAAACGAAAGCTATAAATTTGAATTGCCGGCGCCTTATATGTCAATTTCGATGCGACAAATAATCGGAAAATGAAGAGAAGAATAATTTGTGCTGTATTCGTATTCAAATAATCTAATAAATTTGAAAACATATCAAAATTGTTTCTCTTCTTCGTCGTGTTTTACGTTATGTATCAAAACAACACGTAGACACAAAGAAGAAAAAGGAGAAAAGGGGAGGGGAATTATACTTAAAACTTGTTCATCATAGGCTATAACTGTAGATTTATCATCGAACTACAGACGTGTGTTATTCTAATTTCATTGTCAAGTTTTTTTAAAAAATTGTTTTATGCAACTGATGAAGACGTTGGTAAACGTCGAAAGCGTTTTGCTGTTAAAAGAATAATTGTACGAATAAAAGTATATTTTATAAAAAATCATATTTTGTTAACAATTAATGATCTCAATGTCGTCCACTCAGCCAAGTGTAAATAAACTAAAAGTAAAAATAGTTATAAGTTTGATTTCCCTAGTCGACTTCCCCCAAAAATGCATAATCTCCGGGGACTCCCTACTAACTTCATTCACCTTTTTGCTTTGCAGAGAGACAACATATAAATGTAATACAGTTCTAGGATAAAATTTTACGAAGGTCCTCCTAGTAAGTCATCACTAACGTGTCGGCCTATGTTGGCTGATATGTATTGCAGTGGTATATGCCACTTAATTACCAATTAATTATATGAAATGCTACTTGAAGAATGGAATCCCCAGGGATTTTGGGGAGACTCCCTATAAAATCCCCGGGGAATCCCATTTCGGAGTCCCCGGATATTTTTAGGAGACTCCCCAAGGACTCTCCGAGGATTTCCTTGTGGAAAGTGACTAGAGTTGCCAGCGCCTTATATGTTAATTTTGATGCGACAAATAATCGGAAAATGAAGAGTAAACTTCATGTTTAATGATTGAAACTTGTAAATTTATCTGAAACGCCTTTTCGTTTTAATTCACATAACAAACCAGAGTGCCAAACAGAGTCAATAACTTTTTAAAATTTAAAAAAAGAGCTCTCGTTAGCTTCTCGTCTTTCATACTTATTTTAGTTCGATGGTGTAACCAAAATCTAATAGTTGATTAACAGCAGAATCACGATGACGAAAGTCAGACTGTAGATGTCACTCGGGCCTCCCACAAAAAGGGGCCCTTTCATCTTTCTCTCAACCAGGCTATACAAGATTTACGCAATATTCTCCTAATCTCACCCGGACAATTTTTTTCCGTTATATGAAATCTATATAGCAAATCGTCTATATTTTAGTATCTAAATCTATATAGCATTCTACGTTGATTGAATTGATTAAAATCAGTGTCCTGTTTTATATTGACAGCTGCGTGTTCTTTATGTGTTAAAGTTCTCGATCACGTCCTGAGAATTTGCACTTAAGGATGACTAAGTAAAAAAAAATTTTCTTTCGACAAAAATATATCACGTACCATAGGTGGCGGGATTAGTCGACGAAATGGTAGATGGCGGCACGAATAGGCGTGGAACCGTTACCGTTACTAGTAACTGGAACTGGATGATCACTTACCGTTTTCTTCATAATCAATATGTAGAAAAGTTGATGCTCACCTATCTTGTTTTTTATACTGTAATAAACTCATCTAGCTCAGTTCCCACAGACAATACTACCATGTTTTCCATAGAAACAATACACGTATAGGAAACCTTTATTCTACAGCCTTTAATGTGAGTGTTCCTATACTATGGGAAGTGCCTTTTACTGTTAAAAGAAATTACAGAGCAACAAACGTCCACTGAGAGATGTAAAATTTTGTTGATTTGATGGAAAAGTAGCTGGTGACCAGTTCCAGTTACTAGTAACGGTAACTGGTCACCAGTTCTTTTAACCAGTTACTAGAAACAATGGGAACTGGAACTGCCCCACCCCTAGGCACGAAAAAATGTTCGCTGATTGGCAATGGTTACTTGACCTCTTCCTAGTTTTTTTTTAAAAGTCCAATTTTTAAGCAAAAAAATTGGCTTTTTTGAGAACAAAACGGCGATGCGACGTGTGCACTAACAGGGATAATAAAACTCCATTCCTTTTTTGTACTACCTCAATCACTGAGTGCAAATCCAAACACAGACAATGTGGTAGATAGGATTTTAATTCCACGTTTGTGCTCGGCGCGGAAGATGTGAAGAGACGACAGCTGGTCCGACTTTTGCAGACGAATTTCCTTCCTTTGAACTTTTTATGCACATTGTATTCAGCGCGATATTTGTCCGAGTTTCAGCACTTTTGTGCTGTTCCGGCGTTCCAACAATTAAAAATAAAATATGTTCTGTTCAACCGAATATGATCAAAATTTTTAACAACCTTCGGTCAGTCCTGACTCGAAGTCTATCGATAAAGCCGAATAACCAGCTACAACACAACTTCTTATGAGTTATGTGTGTAACCAAGCTTCCCATACTGTTTTTTTGTTGAATCATAATGACGAAGTAAGAAAACAATTTTAATCCGTTTTGTTTACACTGCGCAAGAGAAAAGTTGTTGTAGATGGAAAAAACCAAGTTGCATTCTCTGCAGTATGTATATATGTGTATAAAAGCAGCATAAGAGAAATAAAAAAATACACCTTTTCATCTTCTTCACAATGCCATTCTTTAAACCGAAACTGCCGTTCATACCTGTCTATTTGAATAGCAGCTTAAAAGAAGGACAGGTCAATGCTAAAAGTCAATCAGAAAATGCAACTTCTGAATATGATTTTATGTGTCACATTAGAAATATTATTGTTAAACGTGAATCAGATTTAGAACCGATAGAAAATGCACCGCTAGGTTACTATCGTATCCGTAGTAATCATCGTAGCATTTCTTCCCCTGCTACCACTACTACGACCGATGCTGAACGAAGTAATGTTTCCCACTATGTCAATGGCTATCAGTTAAAGAAAGATATGCAAATGGAGTTAGAAAAGTATAATCCACGTCAGATGAAATCCTCAGCCAATGTTGATGGTGCAAGTGTTTACGTAGAATATAGGAGATCATTGAGAGATGAACGTGTGTGGAAAGAGGTTGAGGAATTTCGTACACAATTAAGTGACGTACAACGAGACCAAGCCAAGAGAAATATGGACGTGTTTTTTCAGTTTTCGTCAGATTTAATAAATCTTAAATCCAGAGAATTTTACATGAAATGTTCTTCGGATGTGTTACATACGCCAATGCCAGAATTCTTACTTAATAAAGTCTGTCGACGAATGCCATTTCTAAATCACCTGTACAAAACGATGTTCCTATCGTTAATCGGTATACCTATTCCACAAAAACTAGCTGAAAAACTTCAGCTGGCACTTAATTTTTATGAAAAATATTCCTCGCATATCAATCGCGAAATCGAGTCAGACAGAGTACGTAAGCATCGGCGTCAATACATGGAATCTAAGGAAGAATGTGATATTGTGATTGGAATAAAGTTAGATTTTATACCGTCATTAGTTCGTGATGCATTTGAACGTATTAAACGTAATCGTCCGGCAGTTTACCGTCAAATAAAGCATATTAATATTTATCTTATACCGAAATGGTCAAAGAAGACGTCAGAAAGTGAAGCCGAATACGAATTTCGTTTATCATTTTCATTAATTGAAAGTGAACTGGCAAATAGGCGTACGAAAAATGAAAAGATTCTGAATGGCATCGCACGTAGTATTTACTACAAATACTTAAATCGTACTAGGGTTTCGTTTAATGATGAAATATACTTTAAATCTTATTATATAAAGACAATTGTACTTTGGATGTGTGAACAGATTAATTTTGAAAATGTCTTAAAACGCTTAAAAGATGACGAAGAAACGATTGCTATTGAATTAACAAAACGCTTTCTTGACTATACCCTTCAGCTACTGAGCAGTTATACCTGTCCACATTATTTTATCTCTGGGATTAATTTATTTGAGGAGTATCCTCCTACATTCTTAGATAGAATTGCTAACATTTTAAAACATGAGGTGCGATTACCAAAAAAACGTGAAGAACCAGCCGAAAGACCATGCGAAGGAACATGCTGTGATGTTTTAAAACTTTTAATACAAACACCAGAAATGGTAAACGAGTTCGATCAGTTGCAAAATGAACATTTCGATTGTCGTATGGAACAGTTTGTTTCAAACAAATACGATCACGGCCTAAAGGTTCTGATGCTTATATTACGGGAAATTTTTGAAGGACTGCTGGTCTTGATGCCAGATGCGGGTACAGGTGAGAATTAGACAAAGGGAAGGCGACAGTCATCACTTTGTTCAGACATCTTCCTTGGATGTTCTCTATATGTGACATCCATTGATTCAGAATCATGGTGGACTGAATTTCGACGTGTTGTTCTTTGCAATAACACTACAACTGCCGATCTAGACGACATTACGTTTGACATCGATGGTATATCTATAGATGATATACGATGTTGTTTAGAATTTCTATCGGATGCATTACAGACGTAGTGGCCATTGATAAAACGTATGCTTTTGGATGATAGTAATTTCATGGAATATTTAGCAAAAAATCGTACTCGTCTCATGAAATTTGGTATTGAGTACAGTGTTAAATGGTTTACAGAACAAAGTATCAATCATATGAAATCAAATATTTTTACAGAAATTATGTTGGGCGCTCAACCGCCAGATGAAGATAGACCGTTGATTGACAAACTGTTTCATAGTGGACCAACACTGAATATCAAACGTCATTTGAGTGAAACGTACAATCTACGTATAAATCCAGATGAACGACATATATTCAGTAAAGAAGAAGTACTAAATGATTATTGGCTTTTACAAGTGCCCGATATCATCAGCTACGTTCTGACAGTGATTGTATGTGGCTATACAAATGTTCGATTCATTCTAGGCGATGATGTGAATGCGTTACAATCAAGAAATTTTGTTAGACGCACAATACTGCCTTTGCTTAGATCAGTACGATTACTATGGAGAAATATATTTTATCGGCATGAAGTATAGATTTGAGCGATAAAAGGTCATTTCTATAAGATTCAGCGTAACAGAAGTTCTATTTTTTTGCGGATGATAATGCAGGCGTTTCTCGATGTTTGTTATGGCACTTCTGTTCCTTAACTTTGGTTTTCAATCTAAATAAAATTTCTTAGCTTGGACTTCTACAGTTAGCCATCGATGTACTGTTCATTTTTATTTGAGCAATATTTAAAAAATTGGCTTCATCGATCCCATATACATTCAAAAGCGATTTTTACAAATAAACATCTTCTCAATTGCACAAGTTAGGTTGAAACTGAATCGAATAAGAAGATGAATGGTACCGCTCTACGCAACGAACGTTTTGAAATAAGAGCTGAGTACAAAATGCGTAGCTTCCTAAATGCGGCCGAAATTTAAGCCAATCGGTATAAAAGTAGTCGCAATTTGAAACGAGTAAATTTATATTATTCTGCGTTTCCAAATTGCGGCCACTTTTTAATTAGTGAATAATCAACAATCGTAATTTAAAATATACATATATAAATTAGTCGCTTTGTAGAAAAAATAGAAGTAGAAACATATGAGTGAATTGCAACAGGATTGTTTACTGGTCTGCGCTGTTCTGCGTATAAAGACCGTTCTACTCAATGAATTTTCAAATTCTTTTTAATATTTTTACTCCTCTGTATTTATACATTTATTTCTGAATAAATGAACTCTCTATTACTTAAGGAAGCCGTGATTTTCATCAAACAAGGCCTAAACCTGATGTTTTTTCAGCTGGTTCGTCAGAAAAAGCTCGTTTTTTTCCAACCAAATTAAATAGGAGCGGGAGTAGTCTTAACTAGATTCGTAGAAGAATTCTTAGGCTATTCAAATATGTACTTGGCATTGAAATTAAACGAAATTATGTCGAAGAAATACTAAAAATACTGTGATAATAGACCCTTTTCGGTTTTTCTTTTGGTTGGCCCTGATACTTACCTAGTGAAAACACGGATACGATGCGCATTTTGATAATTGTTTTCCAAATATTCGAAAAGATGTGCTAGTTGCTGTTGCTCACCATGTGAAGATTAGGACAAAAAATACACATCCTGAATTCGTAATAATATGATGACCTTTCTTCACGTCGTTCGGCAACATAAATTGCGTTCGAACATTTACCCAGATATTATGGACCAAGGCGAGTTCGGGGAGATCGCCGAAGACGAGTTTATACTCCACTCTAATATCAACCAGAGTTGTTAGACGTTCATCAGTATTATGAGCAACAAATACGAGAGGCGCCAAAGTGTCAAACTTCATCTTCCAGCTTGGTTGTTGGTCGTTGAAAAGTGTACAGCGATCATTAGGGTAATTCATGGTGCTCTGATTGACTGAAATTCTATTTTGATTATGCCAGAATGATGATTAGGGAAGCCGTCAAAAATAATGAAATGCGTAGAACGTAGACTATATTCTACGCGTCGAAAAATCTATGTGTAGAATTTATTTTTGTACGCACATTGAAAACTCTAATTAATCTGTAGTAATCAAAGAAAAACCGTGACGCCATAACACTTTTGATCGTTTTTTTGTCACAGCGTCACGGTTTTTCGAGTTCTTCTTTGATTAACACAGACTAATTAGAGTTTCGAACTTGTTAAGCTGTCACATCTTGTAGAGCAAACAATTTTCTACAAACTGGTATACTTGTTCAAGTTTTGCCAGCCCGTCTTCAGTCTTTTAGACAAGCTTTTTAGATAGCCCCGAAATCGGTTTTGGGGACTGTTTGTACAGCAGCTCTATTTTCATAACGAAGCAACGTTCAGAGCCGAGACACTTTTCATTTTGTAGAAAAATGTTTAATCTACTCAATTATCCAGTTGCCCTTTTAGATTAATTTGTAGCTTTATTGCAATAACTTTTTGAAAAAGAGCAAAAAATGGAGGCCGTTAGCTGAACAAGCCGAAAAGTGTACTTTTTCATGTCGTTCGGTACCAATGGGTCATGGGTGATCCATTGGTACCCCAACATTGGTGCAACTTTGATTCGATTCAACCTTGAAATTGACATATTCTACTACTAATTGCTTTTTTCTAGTACTTAGTTTGCCGTCAGCTTCTATAGATCAATGGTGATAGGTAAAGGGTTAAATATGGTATCAAAATAGTGCAAAAGTCAAATATTTTAATAATAATGGTAAGAGTATAAGTCACTGATTGTTCTATTACTCTAGTGGAAACTAACGAGAATATGCCAATAGAATTCAGTATGGCTGTAATGCCTAAAATTAAGAAAGAGCTATTCTGTTTCCCAAAAATAATACGAAAAATGCAGTTTCTTGCGTGAGCTCTTGAGAAAAAGTTCTAATCAGAATTTTCTCACCAATTACGAGAGAAACAGACTCGAGTACAGAAAAGTAATATGCCTTTAGCGCCAAATAGCTCTAATTAATTAACTCGTTGTTTGGCTCCCAAAATTTGAATATACCTTCGAGTTTTTGTAAAGTTGCGGCAGCTGGCTTTCCTCAAAAACGAACTTTTCCACTCAATATCATCGATAATGCGAACTTTTCTCAGGCTGAGATACAGTTTTATTTATATTTCAAAAGTCTTAGAATTAATTCTACTTTAACTCAGCATAAAAACTGAAGACGGAAAAACGCATGCGCTGTTAGCGCGAAATACACAACTTTCCTACTCTTAGTCACATTTTAGTTTTTGAAACGTTTTGTAGCTGCTCTGAAAGAATTGGTTAAGTAACCAATTGAAGATTATGTTCTGCTGTATGCTATTTCAGTGTGTCAATGATTCGTAGTACGGGTGGGAGCAAAGCAGACTTTCCAATGACAGTTTCTATTTTCCATCTTGATAAAAGAACATTTCACTGATTTTTTTGTATTCTGAATCTGCTCATGCCATAGTGGCTCATATCATTTGTTTCGTCTTTCTAAGAAAACATACCTTTTTTGCTTTATTCATATAACAAATGTTTAAATATAACAATTATTATAAAAATAGTTAACTTCTTGAAATTCGTTACTAATATATCTTTTACAAATAATAAATCTACTATTAAACTGGTCACTGTATGTTTTATTCGTCGATGTTCGAAGTTGTGCACCGAACAGAAAGATAAATCTGTTTGTTCTAAAGCCAAGATTTAGTCCACTGCCTTTTCGAGTTTCGATGGGGTTATATTATTTAGACTACTTTCTATCATTTTTCAATCAAACAAATAAATAAAAGTACAACAAGGTTCTTTGTGTATCATCCCCCTGCCAGTACATTCATCTAATATTTTAAGCAAAAAATTTCCAATAAACAAGTTCTTCTAGAAGCCTTTTCACGGTTACTGCAATGCTGAACAAAGTCGATTTCAATTCGATGATTTTTCGGTGTCAGTACACATCGGTGCTGTTATTGTTGTTTATTTGAAATTGCTAAGAATTTTTTATCACCGACGATTACAATGAAACCATAGATATACTCTCTTTTAAGAGCCTTATTCATCAAAAAATACAAATAATTGGTCTAAGCCATAAAAATTCCCAAAAAGTAACCAACATTTTCTAATAGTATTGTGTAAGCGTTTTGCATTAAATCCGATGGAAAATCCATAAAATCACAACATAATGCATAAATTATTTCAGAATTGAATAAGTTGATGTCAATCTTACACTAGATTTTGTATTTCCACCTGATGTCAAATTAAAAATTTTTCCATTTCCTATTGATAAAAAATTTTATGGTAAAACACATATTTTCATAAGAGAATTTTTTTCGACTTACCAGCAGCACAACGCTGAATAACAGATGCAAGAATAAGTCCTTGACAAGACTCAATAATCGCAACAGTTGATGTACAACTAACATTTGATAACGATAACAACATGGCTAATGTATCTCGACGTAAAAACCTAAATTAGAAAAAAATACATAATAAGAATATGTATTTATTAACACATGCGTAATTTTTTGAATATCCGATGAATAAGCTTGACATAATAAACGTATACTCGGTTTCCATGCTCGATAAATTTGCACATATCTTAAAATGAAATTTTTTTATCTCTATTGCGGCTTTGATACGATTCTTGTATACCTTTTCTTCCTTTTTTTAAAATATCTTTCTTGCAAAAATGTCTTTTATCAAATGTTGAACTATTGGTCACCAGTTGTGAAATAATTTCCTAATATTAGGAAATATTTTCAGTATTGTTAATATGAGAGAGTATAGAGAGCAATATAGCTCTTACTTGATCAGATGTCTTGTGATTTCAAACCTTCAATATCTTCATGCTGTAAAATTTGATTATGTGAATTATTTCGACTACCTGACCATGATCAAATTTATCTGAATAAAGATATAAATATCAGAATTATAGTTAACAATTTTAACTGTATTAATTTACCTGTTTGTTCGAATTCATGCGCTTGATTCGCATCTATTTATTTTAGTTATCCATCTAGTTCATAATACGTTCCATTAATCTGATCGATCAAGTTGTCAAGATAAATTTTATGCTTTTCAACTATAATCGTTCTAAATAGTTAAAAATAGACAGTTAATAATCTCTAATCATTATAAATTCAATGAATAGAAAACTATACCTTTGTTTATGTGCTTGTACAATTATTGTTCTATTATGATGTGTAAGTAGTATAGCATGATCACCATCTTTGAAATAGAGCATATCTAGAATGAAAGGCACACAATTAGAAGCGTTATACTTTCTAAAATTAGTAAATGAATAATTGCTGTTCTTGTTACGAGAATTAGACGACAATTTTTCTTGAGTGAAGTTTGTTTACTTGAATCTCGTAGTTCTTGAAATTTTTTATTTCAAATTGACTAGACTTTCTGGAATTAACCCTTTATCGCTCGTTTTAAAAATAAATAAAGTGTGTAAAAAATCTGTAAAAAAAGTTTTGTTGCCGTACGATTATGACTTTTGTTTTAAATTTATTTGCTTTAATTTAAACAGCTTGACAATACCTAAGCCGAATTACGAATAGCAAGTGATCAAACTTTCTAAAATTGCTAATCATCGCAAATAGCGAGAAACTATCTCACATTATTCTCATACTCTTTTTATTATCAATATCCTTTATTCTAGAACTTCGTCAATTTTGAACTTTTTCTGTGAATGTATCTATTAGCTACATGATGCCAAAAAATTTAAAATCGATACACACATGAGACTGAGAGTGAATTAGATTTGGCACAAGAAAAAGAAATGATTCTATTATTCTATTATTAAGATTTTTAAGAGAACCATATTAAAAGAATAGTAAAGACTAAAAATACTCCACTTCCCACTCTTAACATCACTTTGGATGGTTGCATAAAGAGTTCTAAAAATTCCCTCCTGTGGATTTAGTAAATAGCTAGCGAAATCATTTACTTCTCTTATAAGAGATCAACGAACTGTATTGTATTTTGAATAAATACAATTTGGTATACAATAAATGTAAAAAATGAAAACATTTGTCTATTAGTATATTAAAAAGTTTGAAACAGTTAAAAAGATGATAAATACTGATCACATGCATTATTACAGGCTTAATTTATCAGAAAAAATGTATAGGATGACACAGTACATGTATTTTACAAAACTTTTTTGCTCAAGCTATGATGATATTTTCAACAATAAATTGCGACGTAGTAATTGAGCAAAAAATAGAAAGATTAAAAAAAAGAAATACTTTAACTAGTGTTAAATGTATGAACAATAGTACCGGATCAATTAATGAAAATCGAAAACTCGTCCACAAAGCAATAAACAATCTGTCTAGAATAAAAAAATTTTTTTATTTACCTTGTGCACACGTCTCAAAAACAGATATTCATCCATGTATATGTGTTCTCTAACTTCATAAGCTCTCGATTGATAAAAAAGAAATTTTTTCCTATGAATCTTGACTGAGATAATTAACTTTTGAATTTAAAGAGTTTCAAATTTCTGAATTTTTTTAAAAGCTTTTTCCAAAGCTTTAGCAATACAAGGATTTTCAGATGTTGTAGTAGATAATCATTGCTACAAGGATCTTTTCTATAATTACACAAGAAAAGAAATTTTCTATGAAGTTGTCTTGATGCACCGTGTCCAGTAATGAAATGTCCACACCGATTTTTCGAAAATAGTAAAAATAGGCCAAATTTTAACCATTTATTCTATTCTCAAAATTCCAAAATAATTTTTTTCTTATTATCCATCAAAAGCTGGGTCTAGAAAATGGAGTTTGGAAACTTTAAAACTCAAATTGACTTCGAGAATCGTTGAAAACGAGCAGAATGGTAAAAGGTTCGCTGACTAATCTCACAAGCCTATCTAGTCTGCGGTTTGGAAGATATAATTACTTGATATATTTCATTTTCACTTATACACTTATGAGAAAAAAAGTATATATCGATTTTGAGAAATTTTACCTGATTGTCGAAAAATTCAATTTTTGTGAATTGAGTGTGAAAAACTCTAAAAGTGGACCTGTAGTTTGCCATTTCTTTATCAAAATTCAACATTTTGACAAAAACAAGGCCATATTCAGATTCAGAGTCAAAAACTGGATCGAATGACATGGGTGTCAGGAGTTCTGAATAACCCTGAAGTTTTTCGTTTTTTTTCAAAAATCTACAACCAAAATTTTCACTGAAGCTCCAAATATTCTCCAAAACACTGAGACCCATGTCATTAGCTCCAGTTTTTAATCGTGATTCCGAATATGACCTTGTTTTTCAAAGCGAGTTTTACGAAAATTTGGGTTTTCAGGCTGTTTTCACCTATTAAAAAATTCACTATTCACTCAATAAACATCAGAAGGAGCTCAGAGCTTTAGGACCTGGTCGATTTTCTCCGCTAAATGGGATGATAAGATCCAAATTTAGCGGAGAAAATCGACCAGGTCCTGAAGCTCTGAGCTCCTTCTGATGTTTATTGAGTGAATAGTGAATTTTTTAATAGGTGAAAACAGCCTGAAAACCCAAAGTTTCGCAAAACTCGCTTTTCAGTAGACTTTTAGAACTTTTTCTAAAAACAAATACTGCCACGAGACTCAGCATGATCTATTACCTATAGTCCATCCCTTTTCAAGGCTACCAATAGTCACCGAGTGCCAGCCCTGGGACTCGCAAGAAATCCGACACAGCTCCAGAGCCGCGGAAAACCAAGGTCTCACTTGACTCTCATTTTGAAGAGGATACCTTAGGCTATCATAGCATGGAAGAAAATCAATACAATCCTATTGAAAAGTTTTACACACGGCCTGGTTTTCCAAAGGTCATCTCGGTGTTTCTCTTTGGTTTTCAGTAAAAGCCGTTTTTCTCAGCAAGGAAAACAAATTTTGATAAAAGCTCTGAGCTGAAAACCTTTTTCTAAATCAGTTTTCAATGCTGATTTAGAAAAATATAGCTCGAACCTTCCATCTTGCAATACAAGCTCAAAAAGTCAATTCCACCACAGAGGATGGTTTTTTGTATTTTTGAGGTCCTCTTAGTAATTTGAGTTTTTCTCTATGAAGAAATGGCTTTTGAAGGCTCGGAAGGTGTTATTCGTGATCAGCTCATTAAGCTGAATCTGAATATGTATAATAATGCCAGAAACAAATTCCACTGAAATTTTGCATTACCTGCACCTTATATCTATCTATGAAATTTTCTACTGGACTTAGATATATATATATGGATGATCTCTGTATAGTCTTTATCATTACCTCAACTATTGTTTCATTTGTTTTATCATCACCATTCTTCCTGTTTTAAAAAAAGAATAAAGAACAATGAATGTAATTGTACTTTTTATTCTAAATCTTCTACCACTCACAGTTGCTTGGCAAAAACCACCGAATGGTGAAATTTTGGTCAACAATAATACTACAATCATAGTCCAGAAAATTGGTACCTTAATCAGATTGAGAAATATTACTAGCATAGTAATATCAATTCCACTCACGCAGCATGATTGTTTTCTTCTACCTCCCAAAGTTTATCGACAACTGTACATTTGCAAGAATGTTTCGAACGACAAAATTACACAGTTTAGGCCCAAGTTTCGTGCGCAACAACAAGAAAACTAGACTACACATCATCCATTATCATATGTACTACAAGATTACTTATCAGAACGGAATACAACGTGAAAACGAGGGAAAAGATTTATAGTTGAATTACTTACTTTAGGTGTCGGTATTGCGGGTCTTACGAGGGAAATACCGCAACTGATAAATCACTTTTTCAACAAAACCGAGTGGACTATAGGTAGTCGACGATGCTGATTCCGAATATCACCATGAATGCTGCTGTTAGGCCTTCAAAGACAGGCCTTCTGGAAAACCAGTTTTCGAGAAACTCTAAAGAACAACCAAAAGCTTTCTTAATGAGGCGTAATTGTAGTCCATAAATTTCTGATTAAAACGAGGCATCTCCCAGCTCTACACGACCTTTCTTTGCAAAGTT